TTGTTGGCTATTGCTACAAATATACCCCAGCGACTTAACACTGCTTTTGTGCTCCAGGGTCACATTTTAGAATAAACAACATACTATGAAAGCCTGTTTCCAGGATAAAAATTAAAAAAAGATCATTCTGACTTTTTTTCTTGCAGTTCTGATGTAGACTCGCTGTTGTTATAAAGCCAGAATTGCATGATATAAACTCGCAATGCTGACGTTTTAACATGCAATCGCAACTTTATATCCCACAATTCATAATAGCGATTTTATATCATGCAGTTCTGAGAAAAAAAAGTCAGAATTGCGAGATAAAAAGTTGGTTACCTTTTTTATTTTTTATTCGATGTCAGAAACAGGCTTTCCTGACGTACTGTTAAAATGTAACATAATATATATATATATATATATATCGAATATAGAAGATCATCAGATCAGCACTCTATTCATTTACTAACTGCTTGTTTTCTTAAAAAAAAACACTAGCTTCTCTATTCTTTTCTATTCTGTCTGTTTTCTTTTTAACACTTGCGTATCATTGCTCTTTTGTTGATTCTGATTGCTTCCATTGTCCTCATTTGCTTTGGATAAAAGCATCTGCTAAATGACTAAATGTAAATGTAAATTCATCATTTTAAACTGAGCAATACACACTTTTAAATGTTATTTCACATATGTTGACAGTTGTGTGGTCTGCGTGTGCATGTTAGGTGTGTGTGTTTTATTTTCACAGTATATTTTGAGCACCGTCTCAGCTAGTGCATCTGAATTTCATTGTTTGTATCATGCAGTGACAATAAAGGAAATCAAATCAGATCAGATGAGTAATAAATGGAGACAAACACAAGTGACACGGTTTCCTGCGAACGCTTTTAGGAACGTCTATGATGAACTGCAATGTGTTTTGTTCGTACAACTGTCTCTGGTTCAGTAGATTTTTCTCTGGAATATGAAGTGTGTGTGTGTGTGTGTGTGAGTGTGTGTGTGTGTTTGAGTGAGAGGAGCTCATGCTTTCTGAACACACACACACACTCTCCATGGGTGTAATTGTTTGTGAGCTGCTCTTATTTTCTATCCCCTCCCTCAACTAAATCCTCACAGAAAAGCTTTGGTGTGTTTTTGGCGCTCGCTAACACATGTTTATCTCCCAGAGGAGCACAGAGGAGCTGAATGAAAACACACTGTACGGTACGAGCAAACACGACTCACTTTCCTCTAGACTCGTCTGAACTGCACTTTGTGTGAGTGTGTGTGTGTGTGTGTGTGTGTGTGAGAGAGAGAGTGTCTGTGTCTGTGTCTGTGTGTGTGTGTGTGTGTGAGAGAGAGAGAGAGTGTGTGTGTGTGTGTGTGTGTGAGTGCGTTACTGCACTTCCTTTGTCTGATTTATGTTTGTCATTCTTTTTAAAGTATTCCACATTCCAGAAAATGAATTTAAATTATCAAATTTTTTATTTTTATGAAATGTAAATTTTTTTTAATGAAATTTTTAATTAATATTTTATCCTTTTTAAATAGTTTTGTTTTTTGTTATTTTTACTTGCATGTACAGTAAATCTGCCCTAAACACATAGAGTTATTAATAAACATAAATTGAGCTGTATTTTTCAGAGGCCTGAAGCTGTATGTTATTAGTGCACTGAAATACACACTGGATTTCCTGAGTGTCTCTGATTACACGAAAGGAATAACGATTTGATCAAACTCTACAATAGCAACGCTCTTTTAGGGTTCGAGTAACATTTAATTTGACTATTTTTTCCGAAAGAAATCATTGTGGTTTGTGGTTCATTTTTATTAGAAGTGTTTATTGTCTTCTCTGCGTTGTGTCTGTGTTGTGCTCAGAGACTGATGAGTAAGATGAAGAAGAGATCTTGATTGTGTTGTGATGTGTGTTTCTGCTACGGTCATGTGTTCTGATGGATAACTGCACAAGACACACGGCAGATGTGTGTGTGTGTGGCATCGTGTTGCGTGAGCACGTTAAGGAAACCATATTGTCGTATTGTGATCGGGGAAGAACAGAAGTGAGCTGTCAGAGCAGCAGTGGGACGTGAGAATCCGCTGTGACACAAACAGAAACACACTCGACGACAGAGAGATGTTATTTCCACACGGCCGTCTCCTTCACAGAATCTCTGCTCGGATCAGTGTTCTGGAGCTGCTGAGGAGAGACGAAGCTCGGGCCGCTCTGATCATCTGAACACGCACACACTCAATCCTCAGTCAGATTAGCCTCCTGTTTCTCTCAATCGAGTCAAAATCAGCTTTCTGAAATAATAAAGCCGGCGTGCGAGAGACGCAGAGAACACGAGAAAAGAAAGAGCAGAAGATGGTGTGGGTGCTTCTTGTCAGATGAGCGTCTCTTTACTGTATGTGTTTGTCATTGGGCAGAGGGGGGGTCATTCTGTAGGTGTGTGTGTGTGTGTGTGTGTTTGTAAGAAAGCTGATTCACAGTGTTTCGTGTCTTTGAGCTGGTGATTCAGGAGCCGTCTGGAGCTCGTCCTACAGTCACACTCTCACAGATTTGACACGATAAAGGAGACCGAGATCGAATCGAGGCCTTGAACGACTGTCAGGTGCATTTAATGCAGAGACGCTCAAAGCTGACCTGAGATGGAAAAAAACATGCATATCTTTGTTTGTTGTGTTTTTGCATTGAACTTTTGAGTGATTTTTTTTTGTAAATTAATTTTAATATATTTGGATATCATGCAACATTTACTTCTGGCCCTTTTGGCCCTTCGTAGGTCATGGTCTGGACTTTAGATACTGTATGTGATGGTAGTTTTTTTTACTTTTTCTGGACCAAAAGTTGAATAAGCTTGATGTTGCTAATATAAGAGAAAGGATTAGTTCAGTCAGAAATCATCAGTTACTCTCTCTCATCTCATTCAAACCTGTATGAATGACTTTCTTCTGATACTTTGAAGAATATTTTGGGAACCAAACAACATTGGACCCCATTGACTTTCACTGTATTGACAAAAACACATTTCTCAAAATATCTTCTTTTGTGTTCCACTGAAGAGAAATGTAAATTCATTTCTTAAAAATCATTTTTAAATGAATGACATTTTTAAACTGCCATTTACACATCAAATTTATTATAAAAAAAAAAACATTTTTTTTTGGCATTTTTCACTTAAATACCAAATTAAAATGTCTTTTTTTTTTTTTTTTTTTAAGTTCTGTCAAAAAGTGCAAAGCAGAATTTCCCTGATTTTAACACTTTGTATAAATGTAGCTATTTTAAAGTAAAGGGGATGTAAAATTGTCACAATTTAAAGTTTCAATACTTTTTATTAAAAAGTTGTAAAAGGACACAATAATGCAGTTTCAAGCTATTAATATCTGTCCTCTTTTTTCATCGTGAGACAGAGTTCTAGTAACTGATGAATGATGTGTGTTTCATGGCTGTATGTTGCAGATTATTTTAAGTTAAATGTCCATGTGCTCATTCGTCAGGTGCTGGTTTTAACTGCTCGTTTTCTCTTTGACATAAAATCCCGTTTTGATGAATGATTGTATGCGTGTGTAGAGTTATGACACTCGTATCATCTGAGTGTCTGTACGCTTCATCTGTCTTGGTTTGATCAGATACGACAGATTTTCCAGGTTTAAAGACGTCTTGCTCTGTTTCTAAGTAAACTGGAAAGTTTCTGGGTTTCTGTCAGATGTGTTGTCTTGCTGGAATGGCAAAAGTTCTTTCTGTAGTAGTTTTTGTTTTTATAAATAACAAAGCGAAATGTTGACGTGATCTGTTAATGAGGCGAGTTGGTGTTGAAAGGCTTTCGGTGGCAATGATTTCATAGAAAACATCGCTGAGAATATTTCCATATGTAGAGACTGTTTAACTGATCCAGAGTGTGTGTTTGATCTGAAGTTTCATATTTACAGTTTGTGATCATTGTGTGTTATTATAGGGCTGGTTCTGTTTAGTATGGAATCTGTGGACAAACAGATGAAATTCAGAACAGATCTGATTTAAATTCAGAGCAGGTCCAATTTCAACTTGGAACAGATACAATTTAAATTCACAACAATTTAAATGTAATTTCAGAGCGGATCCAGTTTAAATTCATAGCGGATCCAGTTTAAATTCAGAGCGGATCCAGTTTAAATTCAGAGCGGATCCAGTTTAAATTCAGAGCGGATCCAATTTAAATTCAGAGCGGATCCAATTTAAATTCAGAGCAGATCCAATTTAAATTCAGAGCGGATCCAGTTTAAATTCATAGTGGATCCAGTTTAAATTCAGAGCAGATCCAATTTAAATTCAGAGCAGATCCAATTTAAATTCGGAACAGATCAAATTCAAATTCAGAACAGATCACATTTAAATTCAGAGCGGATCCAGTTTAAATTCAGAGCAGATCACATTTAAATTCGGAACAGATTACATTTAAATTCACAACAGTTCCAATGTAAATTCAGAGCGGATCCAGTTTAAATTCATAGCGGATCCAGTTTAAATTCAGAGCGGATCCAGTTTAAATTCAGACCAGATCCAGTTTAAACTGAGAACAGATGTGGTTCAGATTCAGAGCTGTGTGTTTGAGGACGTGATTTAAACACCATCATACAGTTCTTGAGCTCTTTCATGCAGTTTTCAGAAAGAAACGAGTGTGTGTAGAAGTGTGATTGTCTCCAGAATGAACGACTGAGACGGTGAGATGAAACCGAAGCTCTGCGGCTCGTGCAGGAGTTCCTGTGACGCTCTTCTCTCCTGCAGCTTCAGCTCCTTCTTTTGTTCTTCTGAACACCACATTTCAATTCTTCTTTCTGTCCTGCTCGGTTTTCACTCAAATGTCTCTAAAATTGATTTGTTTCTTACAGCTGTGTTTGGTGAGTGTCACGTTCATTTGTTCAGGTATCTAAAGAACTTTGCATGTTATTGAGTTCTTCAGTGATGAAGAATTAATGTTTTAATTTATTTGTGTATCTGCGGTTATTAGGATGCTTTCTGTGTTGGTGTGTGTGTGTGTGTGTGGTGTTGGGTTGTTTGTGTTTGATTCTTCACACCTTTACTAGTTAACCCTAGTTAACACGGCTCGGAAACCACTGAAGTTTCTCCATCTGTCCTTCCCAAAGCCTAATAAACACGCTGCATTAGATGGAAAATGCTGCAGTGACGGCGCAGTGTTGCTCGCAGGGCCGGAATCAGTCAGAAGATCATCCTTCCTGTCGCTGCAGACGTTGATCCGGACGCAGCTCGCAGCGGAGGGCGAGGGATTTTGTGTTTTCGGAAACTTGCGAGCGTTTCGAAACGAGCTGATGCTGATGGGAGCGAGGGGCACGTGGGCGACGGGGGGAGGCGTGTCAAACACCTTTTTCACAAGACAGGAAGACGAAAGGAGAGATAGAAAGAAGAAAGAGAGGAAGAAAGAGGTCCAGATCCCCACCGGAGAGCGTCGAACCCCGAAGTTTGTTGAAAGAAGCAGGAGAGACGGCTCAGAGACAGACAGACGGATGCTATGACACAGACAGCGGTGCAGGTTTTGTCTACAGTGCCCTGCTTCACTATGAAGGGCCGAACGGTAGGATCCGGGGCCTTATTAAATGTGACCGCAGAAACACGTGTGTGTGTGTGTTTGTGAGAAAGTCTTGGGCTTGATGTGTGAGTGAATGAGGCTGAACTGAAGTGGGGCTTGTGGTTCGTTAGGTGACTAATCTGCTCCGTCTCAATTGTGTAACATTACCAGAAGTCTTAAGACGCCACACCTGTTCCAGGGAAATCTTGTTTCGTGTGTGTGTGTGTGTGTTTTGGATCAGGTTAATCAGGTGTTGGAGTGTACTGTTGTTAAGCAGCACTCAAGGGTTTGGGAGGCCAGTATTATGGGCTGTACGGAGCCACCGGTCGTTAGGGGAAGCGGAGAGGTCGCCGGGGTTTTGGTGGAAAGTTCTGGGCTCAGGTGTGTGTGTGTGTGTGTGAATCTGGGATGTACATGTTAAACCTAAAGTTTGTTTTGCCTGTGTTTGTGTTCGAGGCCCCAGAGTCGCCAGCGATGGGCCTGTAAAATTAATCATAGTCAACGCTTCAGATGCATTTAATATTTTACCGTAATATATTGTGTGGGTTTTAATCATTAGAAGACTCTTGAGTCTTTAACTGTTTTATCACGCAGACATTTTTGTGACTGTTAACCAGTTTAGTAACGCCGCTTCTGTTTGGGGTCTGTTTGAAAAACGCATACAAAAAGACAATAAAACCAATCAAAATGAACAACTACAGCCAGACGGTGATATAACTTTTGAAGTGTTCAGTAACATGTAGTTTACAATCAGTGTGACTCTTGAATGTGTGTGTGTTGTGATCTGATAAAAATAGTGCCATTACTGTTACATGTGCTCTTATTCTCCGCCCGTCTCTCTCTCTCTGTCTCTCTCTCTCTCTCTCTCTCTCTGTCTCTCTCTCTGTCTCTCTCTCTCTCTCTCTCTCTCTCTCTCTCTCTCTCTCTCTCTCTCTCTCTCTCTCTCTCTCTCTTGCTGTGTCCTAATCCTCAGTCCGACGGGTCAGTTATGGGAGCGTTTGGTTGAGGCGGGTCAGTTACCCGCTATCACAGGGCTTTAATCTGAGCGGCCGCCTCCTAAACTGGCTGTGAGCGCGGTGCCAGGCGCTGGCATCCCTGAGAGAAAACAAACACATGAATCTCGCACACACACACACACACACATACACATACACACAGGCATCTCGCACACGCACACACACACACACATGCATCTCGCACACACACACACACACACAAACAAACACATGCATCTCGCACACACACACACACATACACATACACACAGGCATCTCGCACACACACACACACACACATACACACAGGCATCTCACACACACACACACACAAACACATGCAAGCAAGCACTCATACATGCATGCATGCATGCATACATGCACATGCACATACATACACACACACACAGGCATACATGCGTGCACAGACGCACACACACACTTCTGCACACAGACGTATAGCCTGTAAATATTTGTCTGCACTAAAGCAGTTTGTCTCGTCCAGGTGTCAGTGTCTCAGACTGTCAGATTCTGCAGCTGCAGCATCTCTAACCGCTTCAGTTCTTCTACTGGAATAATAAAAATATAGTAATGTCAGTAATGCTTATGAAAATATTAACAATACACAGTCAAATGCACATTCAGGGCATGTCTATCTGTCTCTCTCTCCCTGTCTCTCTTTCTCTCTCTGATCCGTTGATCCTGCTTGCTGGATTGGGTGTGTCCTAAATTAGCGTTTTGCGTTTGGGAGGAGGCCTGTGGGACGTTTAAGCCCTTATTAAAATCCTCCATCACATGAAGTAAAAAGCAAGAGGTGTGTGTGTGGGTGTTTCTAATTCAATGGCAAATTTGACATCTTTGTCTTATCTGACCAACAATCAATCTCTCCATATTTGTTTCCTCTTTTTTTTTTTTT